AATCTAGAAATCGATCGTCGTAATACTCGTTTTGGTGTTAGGGTTTAGGGTTTAGGGTTTAGGGTTTAGGGTTTAGGGTTTAGGGGGTTTAGGGGGTTTAGGGTTTAGGGTTTATCGTTTTGGGGGAAGAGAAAACTATGAAAGCCACAAGAATAGGAGCGGCAAGAATGGTATAAGCATGCATTACAACACCCACAATAGTTAAAGCCGTCATCATCATCACCATCATCATCGTCATCGTCATCATCATCATCATCATTACCACAATCGAAATAATGCTAGTATTGCTGGATGTAGTACGTTCATGATATTAATGACAGGCAACGGTAGCATCAGACGTAGTGATGCTAATCGACAGATAGTCAAAGTCTAAACTGCATGTTGCTTGTGTTGGAGGAAAGCTCGAAGTGACGGGAGTCAGGGATTGGGGTGTAGCGGTTTAGGGACCAGGGTCTGAGGTTTAGGGTTTAGCGGCTAGGCTGCCGTGTAGTGTCTAGGTCAAAGCGAAAGTATCTAGGGTAGCTGGGCGCACACGGGATTTGAGGTTTGGGAGTTGCAGTCTTTAGGCGAAGGGTAGCTACAGGCGTGTAGCGTAAGGTTATGGGTATGCTGTTGAAGCTGGGATCAATGATATCCTTTACAGGCGCTTGGGCTTGGGGGTAGACCTCCATGCTTTCTGGCCTACTTTTTGCGACCTCCGATGCGCAACATCCAGTAAACCCTGAAGCCGTGGCCTTGCTGAAGGTCAAGACATTAGGCCGCAAAGTCCTGGTCCACTTCTCTACGCAGAGCAGGGGGAGTTTGCAAACCCGAAAACCCTCGACCCAAGATCGAAGCGCCCGGTCAAGCTAACGACGGGGTCTGATGAGTGTAAACTAGGGGCCTTAACAATTAAAGCAATGATGAATACTGTTTCGGGGTATCTTATACTCTTATACTGCAACTACACTGAGAAACCTGAATGAAAAATAATGGAGGAATTTACAAGGTGTTGCGGCTAGTGCCCGGGCCCTATGTATAGAGACAATCTCTACAATCACCCCGGCGGCATTCCCTTACATGCTCCAGATGCTGGCCGAGGCACTCCGGGAACATATATCCTCAACCCTGGAGCCCAAACCCCCCCAACCTGCTTCCTGCTACCTTGCCCTCCATCGTAATCTGTAAAAGCCCGCTAAACTTGATGCTAAACGCTCCCCGACTTAAACCCCTATATAACTAAAACTACCCAGCACACCCTGTGGTCAGTGAGCTCTAAAGCGCTAGAAAAGCCTGTAAGCCTTGACACAATCTTGCCAGGACCTTTAAATGCCCCTTTGGAACTTTGAAAGGTCCACGCAAACAATCCTAGTGATAAAGCATATGTGTTCAGGGTATAGGGTGTAGGGTATGTAGCGTTTCGGGTTTAGTGTGGGTTTAGGGTTTTAAGGCTTAGTGATAAAGCCCACTGCCCAAAGCCCGGAAAATCTAAAAACATTAATGCGAAGCTTTGACGCTCGAGTTCTACTCCTATACCCTAAAATAAACCCTCACCCCCTAAGCCCTTAACCCTGAAAAAACATGTACAAACCCTATACCCTAAACCCTACTCCCCCTAGACCCTAAAACCTACTGCCCTAAACCCTAAACCCTAAAACCTAGACCCTAAAACCTAAACCCGAAAACCTAAACCCTAAACCCCAAAAATAAAGAAAAAAAACGTTCAACCGCGGCTCCTGGGCTCGAGCTCCGACGTGAGGCACAGCGCCGCAGTCCAGGCGTTGCGAAGTTGGCAGGCGCCCAGGGCCGCCTTTTTTGGGTTCAGGGTTTAGGGTTTAGGGTTTAGGGTTTAGGGTTTAGGGTTCAGGGTTTAGGGTGTGGAGTTCCTATTGATGGGTTTAGGGACTAATTAAGTTAAGGTTTAGGGTTTAGGGGTTAGGGGTTAATTAAGTTAAGGTTTTGGGACTTTGGGATTTTGGTGGTGGTGGGTGGTGGTTGGAGGTAATTACGCAGCAGTCGCTGTGCCCGCCGGCACTCTTCTCCCCCCCCCATCTCAGGGCGGCTCCGCAAACGTCACAGCCGCCAGCCAAGGTACAAAGGAGACGGGGGGTGAGGCAAAGTACGGGAGAGGGGAGAGAGGGGAGAAGAGAGAAAGGAAGAGAGCGAGAGGAAGGAGAGGAGAGGGAGGAGAGAGCGAGGAGAGCCGAGACAGGGGAGAAAGCGAGAGCGGAGAACAGGGAAGAGAGAGGGGGCAGAGAGCAGAGACAGAGAAGAGGGGAGCGAGAGAGGAGAGAGAGGGAAGAGAGGGGAAGCGAGAGACGGAAACCCTAAACCCTCAACCCTAAATCCTAAAACCCTAAACCCTCAGTCCTAAATCCTGAGTCCTAAACCCGAAACCCGAAAGAAAGAACTCTAAACCCTAAACCCTAAACCCTAAACCCTAAACCCTAAGCCCCAAACTCTAAACTTCTTGGCTTCCAAAGCCCCGGAGGCTCGGGAGATGCCCCGAAGCCTTGGACCCCCCCCCCCCCGAAAAGAGCAAAGCGGGTTTAGGGTTTAGGGTTTAGGGTTTGGGGTTTGGGGTTTAGGGTTTAGGGTTTAGGGTTTAGGGTTTAGGGCTTAGGGTTTAGGCAAGAAGCCTCATACTGAAGTGAACTATACTAAAATGAACTGTGATCTACTATGACATGCCATACTGCACTGTAACATACTATACTATAACAAACCATAATATACCACAATATGCTGTAAGGTACCATAAAATCCTAGAATATAGTGCAATATACTGAGAGCGAACTCCGCAAAATTAATGTAGGATAATTAGTATAGGGTTTTGGGATATATAATACTATAGTTATAATAAGGAGCCCACCCCAAAATAGTATAGGTAACTATTGCGGCCCCGATATTAGGGCCACCACGTTCTGAATGATGAGGTCCGTGGTCAGGTGCTGTTGGTCACCTTGGCTCTTGCTCGAGTAGGGCAGTAGGAAAAGCCCTGTGAACATTATAGGCACATTAGGGTTTAGGGTTTGAGTGTTTAGGGTGTTAGGCACCTTAATAATTAGAGTACAGGCTTACCTTCCTCGGTCCAACAACAGTGGCGCAAAATGGCCTCCCAGGACATGCTGGCGGGGGGCACTTTAACAACAACGGCTCTATAGAACACTGAGCTTCCTGAAAGCACGCCCTGAAACCTAAAATGGAAGCCAGAAAGCTGGAACAGATTCATCTCGAAGCCACAGTGGTAAAGCATGGGGAATCCCAGCACTAATTACTCATCCCAATCCAATGTTCCAACTTTCCACGGTTCACTACAATACCTTAGACCCGCAAGAACCCAAACCACTCAAACTCTAGATCCTACATCCCTAAACCCTAAACCCTAAACCCTAAACCCCAATATACATCCCAAACCCGGCCCAAACTCCCCCCCAAAAAGGTGCGAAGGCGCATCGGGTTAGCAGTGACAGGGCCGAGGACCAGTGCCTTCGTCGGCTTTAGGATTAGGGTTTAGAGTTTAGG